ATTATATATATATATATATATATATATATATATATATATATATTATTAGAGTTAAAATATATTAGTAACGAAGATTAGATAAAATATTTTCTTATATAAATTTTTCGATTTTTAATATAATGTACCTATTTTTCTCCAATTGTCTTTTTTCAGATCCCGTAAATTGAGCTGTTCAAAGAAATCTTCATTCCATCCGTTCTTACCATTGGGATTGGCGCTATAATTCCACTTACACACTAACGAACACAACGATCTAAAATAAAAACGAAAATAACATTTAATTCTTTCCCTCTTTCTCTTGCTTGCCACTTATTCAAGAAATTTATATATCAAAGATTAATACCGTGATTCCGATTCGGTGGCTTTCCACGTTAGAAAATCTGGTAGATCAAATAGTAGTGCAGCAGAATTCCAAGAAGCGGGTAAATTTTTCTTAAGCCATAGCATTTTCGGCGTTTGCATCTCGAGAGAAATTTTGCCGCCCACATATTGTAGTATATCATGACCCATAGAGTTAATAAAATCAGCTTCTTCATGCGCTCTGTGATCCATCCACAATATGATATTTTGCTTCTCCTGTCCTGAACAATTAGAACATCAATCACAATTTTCTACATTACAGTAATATTACTACTATGATATTTCTACATATTTAATTTGATATAAAGTTGGAACAAAAAATCCATCAGAAAATCTCCTTTTTTATACCTGTAGGACTGACTGTTACTGGTGAACCTGTCTCGTCTACGGCCACTAATGAGCAAGTAGCATCGAATCCAATTCCTTTAACATCCTCTGCAGAAATTCCAGCAACAACTGACTGCAAACAGAACAAAGTTAGTATATATTTGAATTTGACACAACTCGCAATTATGTTTGCTCTACCTTAACAACGTGGCACACGGCACTCCAAATGTTATCGGAAGACTGCTCATAAAAGTTTGGGGCTGGATGAAATATTTCCAATGGACAAGTAGCCACGTTTTTTATCTTCCCGTTTGAGGTAACTAGAGCTGCTCGGGCGCTTCCTGTTCCCACATCAACACCCACAAAGAAATCCATGTCCGTTGCAGTTGTGGACAGTTATCCACAATCTTGCATTGAACAAAGTTGACTAAATGTTCCGATTTGAGCATAGGCATGAACTGTAAGGAAAAAGTGACACAGCTATCAGTCAACCATATACCAAACTGTTAATCATTGATACATATTCTAAGATGACATGACCCTGAGATAACATTAATTGCAAAGGAGATATGGAATATGAGAATAAAGACTTTAAACAGTGTAGCGTTATCAGCTAATACGTCTTTAATCCAGCGGTGCACACATGTAAGTGGCACATCAGTGAACATAAATTGAACATGATTTATCAACAGCTTCTCATGAATTGTTAATAGTTGCAAATAGTTTTAGAAGCATTTACCAAAATATAATATACAATATACAATATACAATATACAAAATATAATATACAATATAAATATAATATATATGTATGCTCAAATAATGTAATACATTAGAGGCAAGAGCAAAATGACAGAAACAAGATTACCTCACGCAGCACTATTGCATAAAGCAAAAACTATTGGACATATAAGTCTCTACATAAGTTATCTCCCGACCTTACAAAGTCACATGTCGTGCATGCCACGCTTGTACTATCGCCACACTCGTTCTGTTATGCTTACATAAGCAAATGAAAAGAGCTTCTTCCTTGGTCAAAATCATCGTAGTCGGCAACGTGACATTGCGATGTCGGTCAATCGTGTTCTACGGCGGGCAGGCACAAGGAATCGATGCGTGACGGGCACGGCAAGAAGCACGGTGCACCGCAGTCGTCGTACCAAAACAAAAACTGTCCCATATTTTTATCGTATGAGTATCTCGACTCACGCGAGCACGTGCACCGTACCAAGCCGTGCGCTTGATACGGACGCGACCTAGCCATACCTGAGTCGTACCTCGACACACGTGTAGCTCTGAATCGCGCGTCTCCTTCATATGCATTTTTTTGTTTATTACTGCGGAACAAGCATTGCGCATTGTGTGTCATTTTCACGCAGAATCGTCAAGTGAATGTAAACTACGCGGGAATTATACATGTCTGTGGCTAGTGGCGGATAGGATAACCTGAAACATGGTCCGCTTCAAAAACAGGTGATTTACAATGAGACTGTCAGTCTTTCATGAATAAAATTTTTGGCCCATTTTCGCTGTGGTTGCACTTCAAGTTCGCTTTCTCATTTTTGTCAAACTTTAAACATAAAGTACTGTCCAGTTGTAAGTCATTTAAGATTGTTGATTATAATTGTTTTATGTATTTAAAAAAAAATAGAGAGAGAAATATACATCTTGCATCATAATGATACTTTGAACTTTTAGCTGTTATATTTTATTGAAAAAAATGACTTTTAATTGTAAGCAAATAATTATTTGAATTTTAATAAAACTCTTGATGATCCAGTAATAAGTCGCTCATAACCTTCTTGTCTCAACATTACATATAAATGTAATATAAAATAATATATCTTTTTTGTAAAAAATATAAATTTATCCGCTTATCAAATGTATACTCTTTTACTGTTGACATTTATAAAAGTTAAATAATGAATATTGTGATTAACAATTCTTTTAGATTTTCTTGTGATATTATTTGAATGAAAGATATAATACTTTAATAAATGGCATAATAGTGTAAAATTATACTGTTTCTTCTTAAATATATTTAATAATTAATTGTTTAATAAAATAAATGGCAAAACAAAAATAACTTACAACTGAATCGGTTACTTTATATTTATTTCATTTTAATTACAAGTGTATACTAGTTCAGTTTAAAAAACTTTTTGTTTATATATATATATATATATGTGTGTGTGTGTGTGTGTGTGTGGGTGTGTGTATGTGTGTGTGTGTGTATAATTCTTTTCACATTTATTTAGATATATGTTTTTACAATAACACCGCGTGATAATCAAGATGACAAGCAGGCAACATGGAAAAATACACATGTATGTAATGCAATTAAACAGAAGGTACAACAACTATATGGTGATGTAGGGGTTGCAGCAATAAATGATGGCTTTGATGGTAATTTAATATTCAATAAAATACAATAATTTGTTAAATAATATAAATATATATGAAAATAATATGTGATTATATATTAAATATATATGAAAATAAAATGTGATTAACATGGATTTGAATTATTATTCATTCTTATATCTTTAGTAATCTAAACACAAGTTTGGTTTTTGTCTTGCAGCAAAGTATTGCAATGCACAAACAAAAATAGCAATAATGAGGACAAGACATGGGCCTCATAAATTTGTATTGCATGCTATTCCATTGATAAATGATGTAGGCTTTCGACGGGTCAAAACGAAAATTCTATATGTAGGAGCCACTCTCAAGCACTGCTTTCTCTTTATCAGAGTAAGAATTCGATGCATCTTAGTTTATTTTATCTTATCCTTAAATAAAAGAAAAAACATATATTATCTTTTCTTGTTTTCAGAAACATCAAGAAAGAAAATTGGAACAGTTGTGGTCAAAATTACAGACAGAATCTGAGAGGAAAAAGATGGAAAATCTTCTAATGACTCTAACACCTGCTATGAAGGACTTCAAGTAAAAATTATCTTTATAGATCTTAAAAATTATCTTTATAGATCTTAATTTCTGTAAATAAATAGAGTTTAGTAACTTATGAACTTATCAATATTTCGTTCAACTATAATGTTGATATAGAAACGTCAACTTTTTGATTATTATTTCTATATTGTTTACATCAGTAGTGCAACAAGCAACATTAGTAAATTTATTCTTTTTTTTATTAACTTTGACCAAACTTTGATTCACTTACATCTAGATATGTAGATATTTAGGATGTAAATTAACTTTAATCTTAGTTTAATTTACTTTTTTATTTTTTTTTAATTCTAAAAATAAGAAAAAGATAAAAAGTTAATAAACATTGATTAATTCATCAACTCTATAACTCATAATTTTGGAGTTGTATATATATTTTCATTTTTAAATTTTATTTATCTTTATTTTTATTTCATTTTCCTCATAATGTAATATAACATTTTACTTACATTGTTATATATTTCTTTAGTAACTAAATAATCTAATTATAATAAAATGATAATAAAATATTATAAAAATTGTAAATTAATTGCCAATTCATACTCCAAAGTCAATGTCTGCTAGTTGCATTATGTAATTTTTTTTCATTCAAAAAAAGTTTGAATTATAGATAAATAATATCTGTTCTATTTTGTTAAAATAAAAAATTATTAATTTCACAAGTTGATTAAAATAATTCTTTTTTCTTCTTTCTTTTCAAATTTGGCTTGGATTTTTCTAAGCATGTTTCGGGCGTAATAAAAGGAACAAGAAACCAAGAAATTAAAAATTAAATTTCGATATAGAGGAAAACCATGTTTTAATAACAATCAAGAAATATCAAGGAATTCTTTTATTGATCAAAAATAATTTTTATTTCTAATTCTTAATATTTAATTTCTTATTTCTGCTTATCGTGTCTCAGTGTCTTTCGATATTGCGTTATCTGCAGAAGATATCTATGGCGATTGAGCCATAAGGACCATCGTCAGGTCTCGCCAGCTGTCGCTGTACATTGCTGGGAAGCCTCCCATTCGTCCGTGATCGCCACATTCGCCAGGGTATTCCGCCGTTATCCTGCTTCCGCGGTCTGTCCGTGCGCTCACGCTCATTCGAATCAGTTCGTAACCGTCTTGGACCGCTCGCGAGTGGCGAAGTTGAACGGGATCGTCTCAAGTTACTCCGCGATCCGTCGCAAATCTCAAGGACTCATATCTGCGTTTTCTGATCGACGAAGAACCGAGTGAGATCGTGCGCTACGACAGAGAAACCTAAGATAAACATTGCGGTTGCGTTTCGTACCCCGCCGACTATTACGTTCTCAACGAACTCCAGTCGGACGACAGGATAGCGAGAGAGAGAGAGAGAGAGAGAGAGAGAGAGAGAGAGAGAGAGAGAGAGAGAGAGAGACGAACGTACGTACGTACGTA